ACCATTTGGCAAATTTCCGCATATTCATTTTGTGTATAACTACATATATATATATATATATATACATATATATATATATGTAGACGTGTATGCGTTCGTTAAATTTTTAATTATATTGGCTTCGGTATTTTGCTTCCGCGACTCTTTCCGTTTATTATCATAAATACCGGTCGCGCCAGAGTAACGCGATCTTCTCAATTACATAGCGTTATAGCCTACGCTGACTAAGTATTTAGAAATTAAGCACGTCCCCGGATAACATGATATGCATGCGTACGGGATAAACCGTACGTCTACGATATTTCGACAAGCTCGGTTCCAAGCTGCTAAAATTCCCGAGTAAACTTTAATTCGAACTTTATAAAGAACCCCTATATACATATATATATATTCCAGTTATTTGATTTTTTTATAAATATACTTATACGATTAAAATATATTTAATAATTAACTAGCGAGCGTTAAGTGAGCGGGGTCTCATGTATGCAGCAATACACCACATCGAGTTATAGTGTCGCTCGTTTGCTAGAAAGACACTAACAACATGTGTGTCTATTAGGATACACATAACAAAAGTATTATTGTAGTCAATGCTTTGCTAATTTACACAAGTAAATAATTGGTAACAAATGATTGTCAAAAAGAAATATTTCTAAAAACATAAAAATTGAATACAAAAAAATACAAAAAAACAAAAATTACAAAATACAAAAATACAAACAAAAATACAAACAAAAAAACTAATAAAGTGGAGATTTTTTAATTTAAAAAATTTTATTTAGCTGCGTAAATTCGCAAAACTTGGATTGTATTTCCGTTACATTTTCGGTTGAATTCAAATACATACCAGCCATAAAATCACTAAGAATTGTTAAAAAAACATGTTTAGAGAGAAACTTAATTATTATAAAATTTTTCAAAAATTTTCAATTTTTTATTTTTAAAAAAATTCTCACATGTTTCTTGACCACTTCTAAGCACTTTTTGTTCTATAATATTTTTTTCAAAAGTTGATATTTTTCGAGTAAAAAAATCATGAATTTCTAAATTACACTACGATACAAAAACCGCCATATTTTTTTTTCTAATCAACATTTTTTAATAAAGTCAAATGCGCTTGAAAGATAATTGTCCCATGTCGCGAAAAAAATTATTTAGGGAGCCTATTTTACGGTCCATTTCTTTTCAGCAGAGCGAAATTTGGAGAAAAATTAAAAAAAATTTGGAATTTTTTCGAAAAAATCGGTCATATTTTTTTTTCTGTCAAGATTTTCAAAAAAACTTGGTGATTTTTCGAAAGAGCATACACTAAAACATAAGGAAACCAAATTTCATCCAAATCTATTGAGAATTGTACGAATGGCATAATGTCAAATCGAAGCATTGCAGCCATGGACGTTTGCCACTTAATGGGTTAAGGAATAATGTTAATGTAAAGTCGATTGTCAACTAAAACTTATTGAAAAATATGTCCTTACAAAAATTTAAAATTCTTTAAAATACAATTACCAAAATGTAGAATATTGTAAACTCGTTTTAAATTTTGAAGTATTGGAGTTCTTAATTCATATGTGTTTGTTCTCAATATATGATATAAGTCATCAATGTATTTAATTTATTAACTGCATGGTAAAATTTGTTTTTTCTAAGATATGATCATTTTATGACTTCAACGCCTGGAAAGGATCCTTACTAGTAATATTAATGTAAAGTTAATTTCATTATATGGATACCAAAAAATTATTCAGTGATTAAAAAAAAGCTAAATTATCTTTTAATCGAATTTTCATAGATTAAAAGCAGAACCGCAATATATAATGCTCCACTTTTACAAAGGTTTTCAGTCAATAAATGACCATTTGTTAAAAAATGAAAGGAATTTTAGAGTGATTCTTTGTTGAATCGCATAAATAAACAAACACACTTACGCTTCATTCACGTTTCGTTGGATATTTTCATATTTGGGTAAATAAGTATTCAAGGTATTAGTCCAAAATATTTTTTAATAAGGCATTACATTTAATAATTTTCTTATGATTGCTCAAAAAATTCATTATTAACGTTTATCATTTATTATTGATTGGTCGATAAATGATCTGCAGTTGGCATAGCGGAACTCGGCTTTTTTCTGTACGGCGTTGTCACATCGTGCAAGTTCATTTGACTATTTGAACGGGAGGTACAGAATCAATCTTCAGCGACTGTACGCTACTTGAAAGTAATTGTTTGATGGAAGTGACCAGCGAGGGCGCTTTCTCGAGAAGGAAAAGGGACGAGAAGAGGGGGTGGGGGTCGGAGCTCGAAGCCCCACTACGTCGCGCCCGCTGCCTTTCTTTGGCCACGTCCATCTTAGTTAGTAGTTCTTTGTACCTCTATGTCGGTGAGGCCCGAGTTGTAAGCTCCCCTGTAAGATTTCGCTCAAGAAGAAATAAAGTGCCATTTCGATCAACCCGCATTCTCATTTCACTATCAGTAAACATTTTGGTCCTTCGAGCCGGATACGCCGAAAAGGATTCACGGTGAGTTCCACCAAACTTTACGCAATGGCAGACGAGTGTCGTGCGGCGCGTTTACGTCTCTGTCAACCATCAACTCGATCCACGGGCGTCACGGCGGGCGGCCGCCGATGACGACGGCACCAGCGCCGACGACGGCAACGTACGCCATCAGCGGGCGCCGCGGTGGGTGGCCGCCGCAGGCGATCTCTTCCGGTGCGAGAGGCGACTCTGTGTCAAGCCAGATCGGGTGAGGGGAACGGGTCCAGCGGCGCGGGCGGCTCGGAGGAAAACCACCCGAGGATCGTGAAAATGCGAGCCATGACTCACCGAGAAGCCTCCTCGCATGTTGGGCCCGGATGCCGCCCCTACTACCACGACGAAGCAGCGACAGCGCTCCCCCCTCTCCTCCACCAGTCGCGTTCGGCACATCAGAGCGTGCCTATCGTGCCGCGGGACGATGTCTGAGCGCTGCGATCGGCTGACCCCCTGCCGCGACTCTCTCGGTCGGTGCGGCAGAGCAGACCATCTCGTCGGACGCACAGGAGCTGCGAACTAGTTGAGCGAACGCTTCGGACGAGCGCACGGAGTCGGCGAGCGCGCAACGGGCCATCAGGTCCTCCGAGCCAGGCTGGGTCGTCTGTGCTCGACCGACCATTAACCTGGGCCGAACTCGCTCGTCTCAGCGTACCGTCGCCGCGAGCCGAAAGGTCGACCTCCGGCGAAAGATGGCTAATCGTGCGGTTCGCCCTATCTGGCACATACACTAAGCCGATTCATGCTCTTGACAGATTCTCATTCAACATGAGCTCAAGAAGGCGATCCAGAGATCGGCAGAGAAGGTCGCCGAGACACCAGCAGACAGCTGGACGATGGGGACCATCGACACGCACCTGGAGCTTCTGGAAGGCTACTGGCGCAACTTTAATCAGAACCATGGCCACATGCTGACAATGGGTGAAGACGAGGCTTGCGACTATCTGTCAAGCGACACCTATCCGACTGCCGAAGAGCTCTATACGGAGAGTCGCAGTACACTGCTTGACCACAAAACCCGAATCGCTGCGGCGTCCGAGCACACCTCGACTCCAGCCGGATCGACGGCGGCAGCGGTTGATGGGGGTGACCTTCCCCAGGCGAAGCTGCCCCGACTCGAGTTGCCCACCTTTAGCGGGAAATCGGAGAACTGGGAGTCCTTCCGCGACATATTCATCGACCTCATCCACGACAACGTTTCGGTGGGCGATGCGTCAAAGATCATGTATCTGAAGATCAGTGCCCTTTCCGCTCCGTCGCCAGCGACTACAGACAGGCATGGGAAACACTCTGCCGCCGGTACGACCAGCCCAAGCTCCAGGTAAGGGATCACCTGGCCACACTGTTCCTGTGTCACTTTCCTTCTTCATTTGTGGTATGTATCTGCTCAATCAATTATCCATTACAGATTTCGACATGACCATGTACATAGAACTCAAATCCTGACTTTTCTCTCTTTTCATGGTACTCGAACAACTAGCCCTGCATTACAGAGTTATATAAGTCAGAGTCTCTCTGAAATTCCTCGTTTCTCCTAAAACTACTGCGACTCTCCCTCCCCTTCAATGTCTCTGCCTTCACTTCCACATCAAGCTACCTTCAAACACCTGGAACTATTTCAACTATAATTTTCCTCCTTTCAATTCACTCTGCTAACTTCCCGTCTTTTCACTATCTACTTCTTACATAATCTCATGACTGCCCAAGCTTTCCCTTGTCTTATCTCAAATTCAACCAGTTAATTCATTGTGAATCCGAGTTTTGAATTTCTGAATTTTTACAATTCTCATCTGCTCTGTCATCCACCCTGACCGCAAGACTTTTTGCCCCGTTTTTACATTCATTTAGTTTTAAGTTGTTAAATTTTTAAATATTAAATGTTAAATTTTTCATTTGTATTCACTGTTCTTATTGCGCCTCTTATTGTTTTATTTATTTTTATTTCGACATTGTTTTCTTGTTAACTTTAATTCTATATCTCTTATTATTTCTGCGTTGAATTATTTTATATTGCGTTATGTTAAACTTGAAGCCTACCTCAAGGTCAAATAATAAACGTTTGATCTAAATCTCTCTTTCTACTTTTAGCTCTTCATTCCCTTCCCTTCACTCCGTTAATACTACGTTCTTTTCGGTTCTGCTAATTATCTTGCGCCGCACTTTAAACAAACAAGGAAAGCACAAGAGTGCGTATACGTCGACAAGTGTTCAAAAGAAAATACCGGCTGAACCATGACTCTCCGTTACAAGTTATTCATTAATTTTTACAAAATTTTTTATGGTAATAAATATGGAAAAAAGTCTGAGAAATTTCTCATATGTTGTTATACTATATATTTTAAGTTTTATTTTTAATCTGTATTTTTTTTTAATACAGACAGTAGATTTATGAGTTACATAATTTATAAATCTACTTAATTAAACAAAGCATAAAATTACAATAACAATCTAAGATTATTGCAAATATAGATACTGGAGAGATATAAAAATCATACACTTTATTGGAACTACAAAACCATGGCTGTTACGCGTAGATTCAATTCATGGCAATATAGAAATACCGGATGGTTTTGATCACTTACAACAATTTCTGCAATTGTGGTGGAGCATATTTCATGAAAATGTACAACCCGAACTTACACAAGTTATAGTAAGTAATTTCCAATTATTTAAATTAACTTAAATCGATATTTTCTTACTGATTTACAATTAATGGTTAGACCTATTTAAATTAATAATAAATGTTGCTAAAATGTTATTTTTTCTAATTACATCATTTATCATCTAGATTTGGAGTATTATATTGAAAAAAACGATTAATTACGCGAGTAGAATTATTTCGATATTTAAATGATTCCTTGTCTTTAATATTTTAGGAAACGATTACAAAACAATATCGACGTAGAGAGTAACGAAGAATTCCGGCTCATCGGTTTCTCCGTTGGCTCTCACTCGCTCTGTTCGCTGCATTCGGGCTGAGAATGTATTTATGCACATTCTCATGCCTGATTTTCTCTGTTTAAGGTGCGGCGTGCGGGCTGATTTGTGGAGCCAGAAACTACCGACAGAACAACCAGGCACAGAGAGGAAACATGCGAGAGGGCGAGAGAGATAAAACGCGGGTTGCATCCTGATCCGACGCGCGACGGTTAGGTCAACAAGATCGGCAGTCTAGCAACAGTGAGTCAAGAGCGTATGCGCGGGTAGTTTTTTTGTTGTTGTTGGTGAAGCACTTATTTTGTTCCGTTAAGAAAAGAAGTGGTGCGGAGCTTTATCACATCTTTTTACGGATACGTACCCGGTGTGCAGACGTGCGAGTGAGACAAGGCTGCTATTTGGTTATTTGTGATTTACTGTGTTGCGCCTAGCCAAATTCCTGCCGCCCAATACCGGTGTGCATGGGTTTCATCGGTGAGGCAGGAACAGTGAGGTGAGGTAGTAGCGGCAGTGCAAACTTGGTCAGTGGAGGCGCATCAGCTGTGGCGGTTGGATGCCGGTGCCAGTTATTCTGTCTGTCTGTCTGTCTGTCTCTCTCTCTCTCTCTCTCTCTCTTGCATGTTCGGGTGCGTGTGAACTTACATAGGTGTGGTCTGGCAGAATTACTGGCTCCTGTGCCAAGCTTAGGATTCAGTGCGTAATCGCGGCTCGATCAGATTATCGAGTATTAGTAACGATCATTCAATGGAGCAGATTATTTGTAAAATTAGCCGCCGTTTGATCAAATGAAGTGAACGTACTCTACCTACAGGGTGTAGCAAAAATACCGAATAGGTCCTGTATTTTTTCAGGTAAGGTATTTTTGGAAAAGGTTAGGGTCAGGTCTTTCGTAACTTTTTGCAAGGAATTCAATTATGACCTTGGATTTGACCTTGAACCTCACCTTGAAGGTTATTTCAAGGTCACCTTTTTTTCAAATGGAAACCTCTCTTTTTCAAAGCGGTAATTGAAAGAGCGGAAATTTTTACGTTCAAATATGTATCAAGGTCCAAGGTCAAGGACAACCCTAAGATCAAATAAAGGTCAAACATGAGTGGTTAGGAAAACATCTGGAAATGTCGCAGGATTAGTAAAAGACATAAATGACAAATTTTTTTCAAACGAAAGCATCTATTTTTGATATCGGCAATGAAAAATTTTACGCTGTGGTAATTTGTAGATTATAAGTCACATCCCCATAGTATCAGTATCGTTGGATATACAGCTTGTACAGTAATTTTTGGGATCGCTAATCACGAACTTAATTTTCTAATGTTTTGGTTTTTACTTTTAGCATTACCCAGTAACAACGGCGCGGACGAGGTAAATACTATTCCCTTCGGGGTACTTGACAACATATGTTTGACCTTTATTTGACCTTTAGAGTTGTCTTCGATCTTGGATCTCGATACATATATGAACGTAAAATTTTCCGCTCTTTCAATTACCACTATGAAAAAGAGGGGTTTCCATTTGAAAAAAAGTTTATCTTGAAATAACCTTGAAGATGAGGTTCAAGGTCAAATCCAAGGTCACCATTGAATTCCTTGCAAAAAGTTACGAAAGACCTGACCCTAACCTTTTTCAAAAATACTTTACCTGAGAAAATACAGGACCGTTTCTATAATTTAGTTACACCCTGTATATACTTTTTTTAGTCTTTTGTTTTTTCTTTGTTTTTTTGAATCTGAATAAATTCGATTATTGATACTTCGTGAATATCACTGCGCATAAAGCTTTTCTGCATTCTTTTCCTTAATATCGCGCACTATTAGCACACACACTCAGTGTTCTATTCAATTATGAAAGCATTCGTACCCCCCGAAATCACTACCTTTCCAATAGTGTGCGGCGGCGAGCAAAATTTATATTTATATTGTCGGCTGATCAATTCCATTAGAAACAAAAGATATAGAACAAAATCTAAAGATATAAGAGAAGGAAAGAATAAGAAATCAAGTATATCTAATTGCTAGGCACTTATTTTTGTTGATCCTTACTTGAAAGTGTAAGCTCTCAACTGTGTAAATAACAAGCTTATCGAGAAATCTCGCTTGAAATCTAATATAGAATCTTACATATAAATGTAGAATTCCGTAAAGAATCCCTTGTAGAAATTTTATCGGAATATCTAGTCGCTTAGAGATGAAGAAATAACTACGTTTATAAATTCAAATTTTTCTTATAAAAAAAATATACTTCATTTTAGAAAACTTCTGTTTAAAGATAAGTATTGAAATCCTTGAACGATTTCATTTCATTTCGCTCTATTCCTACTTCATACACTTGCCTCTAATGTAAATCTGTTTCATGCATTTTCATTATAACACGCAGATGTAATTATTTATCCACTATTGTAGTTTCGAAATACGGTAAGTAACCTTAAACAGTATTCGACAAAAGAAAAGCCTATATTCTTTAAATTTACAACTATAAAATCGAATCATTCTAGACAAATTTTCTTCAGATCACCGGAGAAGAAAAGTTTAGTGGAAACTTTGAGCGTATCTTAAAATACCAATGTTCTATTACAACCTGTAATAGCAAAACTCTAGAAAAACATTTTATGACGCTTGCACTTTTCTGTTAGTTGGCGATATGTAATAGATGGTTTAAATATTCGTACGAGTAGTTATTTATCGTAAGTAAGCGATAATATCGGCAATTTCTTCACAGTGTAAGTTTTACAGCATACCATGAAGCCTTTTATTTATTCCGTACTGTATTTTAGTGATGACTGTGCTGCGTACAGAAAGATGAATTGCTAACTAATAGATGAACCTCTTACTTCTTTATGCATTATTTTACATCTCTAGGTACTGGATTATACTGAACAATGCAATCGTGCTAAATGAGATAGTAAGGTATAGGTCCTCTAGGAATATTTCCTTTTGTCAAACTTTAAACGTATATCTACGGCAGCGCTCATTAGAGTTTCATTTTGTTTGACGCAATCAATTACATGTGATTGCTATATTCAAGAATTTTCAGCATCGGTTCAGGACCTTACTTTTCTTCTAATCATAGAAAATACGGACATACATTTTAATCATATTGTAGAAAACGTTAGTAAGTAAAGAATATTCGTAAATACGAGCTAACAGGCAACATCGAGTTTCGCAAACTCACGACAGGAAAACCATATAGCGGAGACTTGCGCATCGAGTAAGGGCCGTTCAAACTTGTGCTGATATTCTACCGTCTACCAGAAAAATTCAAGTACTATCGACTGGGGAAAGCCAGATAGAGCATATGTATGCTAAAGATGCTGTCGTAATAGAATATTACTGTCTAATCACATTTCGGTTGTAAAGTAATACCCAAAAAAATGCGTAGTGGTTTTTGGGCGTTCTTTGAGTACCTATCTATGTATTATTTATTATAAAATGTATGTATTCACTTTTATCTATACTTTACACATAAGAAATTAGTTTATAAAATGGATAATTGGCTTTTGTCTCTCAAAAGCTCAAATCTAAAACGTGCACAATTGCACAGGCGTTATCGTGGCTGTGAAGTCTTCAGCTCTTACAGTTTTGCTCTGTGAGGTTGTCAGATCCCACAAGAGATACATTTTTGGGTATTAATCTATTAATTATTAATCTACTTAAGGATCACCTAGATATGGATAAGTAGAAAAACTAGGCAGGCCACAGATCAAGGGAACCTCAGATCATGGGGGGACCTCAGATCAGTGATCTAAAGTACATGATATATGAGATCAGTACTCTTAGATCAGACGGCGCGCGCCCCCTCTCCTCCTAAGGTCTATGAGACCAGACACCACCGCCGCCGCCTCCTCTGTAATCTAAGGCGTATGAGCTATCAGATCAGTACTGTTAGATAATGCACAAGAGCCCTCCCCCCGCCCGCCCGCCCAATATGAAATGCGTTTTAAATATTAATATAAATTTATGTATTTAATTGAATTTAATTAATTTGACGCAATTGATTTACGTGTAATGCACAGATTTAGTGAAAAAAAAATGAGCAGACACCACGGGGAATCGATCTCGCGCCCTATGGATCGATAGACCGTAGCCTCTAACAAGTGAGCCACGGTTGCTTTTAGCTCTTGGTATCTCATATTACGTATATTGGGTACACACAATCGAAAAGCGACTAGACTACAGCGTCCCCACGCCGCGAGTACATCCGTATGTGTGCACGTATTTTAAGATCACACGTTATCGTGGGTGTGTGTGTGCAACACATTGATACATACTGCAAATCCGATGCCTGTGCTTGTCGACGAGATACACCATCGCCGTGCTCGCCTGTCTTGGTGAGTGCATTTTTATATATTATTATGAATTTATTATTAATTTATTATTATTTATTATTTTTAAGTATTATTAATTTATGAAATAGTAGAGTAGAGGGGGGGGGGGTAATAGCAAATATATACATTGTTTTTTCTTAAATAAAATCGTTTTATTAATAAAAATAAATTGATAAAATTAAATTTTATTGATAACAATTAAATTATATAATTTATATATGTATTTATAATGAGTATTCGTCGTCGTCTAACAGCATCACCGTTGTTTCATCCAGCTCGCATACAATTTTTCTTCTTTTAGGGGGAGCGAACAATGGCAATGTCCTGCTTCTTTTCGGAGGGCTGTCGTTGTCAAACAGCTATCTCGCTACACCTGCTAGAAAAAAATATTG